GGGAGGGAGGGAGGGAGAGAGAGAGGGAGAGAGAGAGAGAGAGAGAGAGAGAGAGAGAGAAAGAAAGAAAGAAAGAAAGAAAGAAAGAAAGAAAGAAAGGCAATGCCTTCATAAGATTGGCTTCTAGGGAATGCTGTGGGGCATTTTCTCTCTTCTTTCTTTCTTTTTTTGGGAGTAGGGAACAAGTATTTGTTTTGACTCATAGATGGAGGCAATACCGTCCATTATGGCAGATAAGGCACAGTGGCAGGAGTGTGAGGTGGCTGGTCAGGAAGCAGAGAAGACAGAAGTGGGGCTCACCTATAAAACCTTAAGGCTCACCCTTCATCTCTCCAACCCCCAGTGACTCAGTTCCCCTGTCGGTGATCCACCTCCTAAAGGTGCCATATCCTTCTAAAGCAAGACCAGTAGGTGGGCATGAAGTATATATTAGGGTTTCAGTGACATTTCACATTTCAACCCCAACACTTTGCAAAACAGAAAATGTCAGCCCCTCTTTGTGGTGCCTTGAACAGCTTGTGACTGTGTAACAACCTGAGTCACCACAACCAGACAGATCTCTGTATTAGAATGTATCCACCTCATGAATCGAGTAGTTGAGGATGGTGTCCTGATTCTAGACCTTGAAGTGTCCTTGGAACAAGGACTTCTGGAACGTCTTCTGAAGCAGGAGTAGGAACCTGTAGCTGTCATTAGGTCACATGTTGGCAAAGGGAATCGGGTCAAGTGGGAACCACTAAGGGCACATTTCTTTACTCTCTGTGCACCTCCTGTGTATGTGCTCAGTAGAGAAGATATGGATGTCCATCAGGTTGAGGGAACGACAAACTCAAATGAGATGTGGTCCACCTTGTGCTGTGTATCCATGGTCAGATCACTTTTTTCCTTAGTCCCATCCTTAGTGGTCTCTCCCTTCCTGGACTTTGCCCTGGAAGCCATTCCAGCAGTCAGCATTGAAACCCCTCTTCTTCATGCCCAGGAGAACTTGCTGAGGCTGCAGCATCAGCACCAGGTTGTGCAACATAGAGATGCCCATGGTCTCCTGGGTCCTTCGAGCCCTAGCCACACAATTTCCTGGGAATTTTCTTAATTATGGATTAATGTTGTGGGTGGGGCTATCCCTGAGTAGGTGGTCCTGAGTTCTATAGGAAAGCGGGCTAGAAAACCACAGGACCTAATAAGCAGCTCTCCTCCATGACTTCTGCTTCAGTTCCTGCTATCAGACTCCTGCCTTGAGCTCCTACACTGAATGCCCTCAGTGAGAGAGTGCAGCCTGAGAGCCGTAAACTGAAATTAACCTTTCTCTCTCTAAGTTTCTTTTAGTCATAGTGTTTATCGCAGCCCTAGAAACCCTAAGACTGCTGGGCAAGGACTTCCTTATTGCATGAAGTGTTCCACTAGCATTTGAAGTCTCTCAGCTGTTGATAAGTTTGGCTAATCTAATTGCTTTCCTTAAAGTTCTAAATGTTTAGAATGGTGAGTTTTGTTGCATACATAGGCACACACCTTTAACCCCAGCACTCTGGAGGCAGAAGAAAGTAAATCTATTCCTATGTAGAGTTCTAGGTCTACAAAGGAAGCTTGTTGGCTCTATATAGCCAACCAAGGCTATATAGTGAGAACCTATCTCACAAAACAAGCAAACAAAATTTTATAGGTGTGTGTGTGCGTGTGTGTGTGTCTGGAGATATATATATATATATATATATATATATATATATATATATATATATATTCATATGTATTAAATGGTGAATTTTTGGCACCATCTTGTTTTCTTTCTTCTGTGTATCTGGGTGCACATATGTGTAAACATGTAGGACAGATTGATGCCCAATTGCTCCTCAATCCTTCTCTAGCTCACTGATTGAGACAGGGTCACTCACTGAACCTGGAGCTCACGAATTCAGCTAGACTGACAGACCAACACAGGCCACACACCCTTCCATTCCTGCTGCTCAGTGCTGGGGTTAAGCTGTGTGTTAGAGAGCCTGGTTTCTCTGAGATTGAACAACCAGCATCTTGTCAACTGAGCCATCCTTCCAGCCTGGCACCATCTTGTTTGGGCCCATTCAGCCTGACACCTTGAAATTTTCAAATATCCATGAATCTTTTAGAATTGCTTCACTATCTCCTTTGTTCTTTTTGTCACACGGAACCCCTGGTGCTGAGAGGCTGAGTGTTTATCTACCTCCCATTTTTTTTTTTTTGTTTTGGTTTGTTGTTGTTTTAGTTTTACTGTGCTTTCAGGGAACACCCTCAACTTGAATCATGGATGCCTGAGTTATAAATTTTTATCTTTTAAAATTTATCAAGTTTTTAAATAGACTATTTCTTGACAGGTTTTATTACTTAACTGACTATCTCAGTGCCCTCTAATGACAAACTAACTGCTCATTAAATGCTGGGACTCTTCACTATCAGGTCCCACCTCCATGTGTCACTCTTGTCTTCTCACCCTTTCACCTGTAGTGGAAAGGCATTTCATTGTCACATTCCGCTGTCTTTCAAGACAAAGAAGCAATCACAGTAGTTTGGAAGGTGTTCAGAGTCAGAGAAGTGTAAGAGTGTGACCTGAGCCCACCTGGCAAAACCCGAGAGCCCATGGCCTGATCACACGGAGCTTGACTGCTCCAGCAGGAGTAAATCATGGAGCGGCCACAGGCCTTGCTTCCCAGATGAGGACAGGGAGACTCAAGTGGATTAATACCTTGGTTTCAGGTGTTTAGACAGGAAGTGCTGTGAAGGGCATACAAACCATGGTCACTCTCAGATGCATGGTCTTAACTCTTAGAGTGTGATATCATCACACCTGAAGCTGCCCTAAACACTGAGTACCAAATAAAAATTATAAATTTAAAGAGACAGTCCAGGTCCAAAAACCACAGCCCAGAGCAACCAATGTGAGTCTCTTCATTTTACTTAAACACCTGCATTCTAAATACTGTTTACATGATTAGGATCTTCTGATTAGAGATATTTGGACAAATAATTTATATAAATTAGGTATGTCAGGGATATGTGCATGGAGAGAGAGAGACGGAGAGACAGAGACAGAGAGAGAGACAGAGACAGAGAGAGACAGAGACAGAGAGAGACAGAGAGAGAGAGAGAGAGAGAGAGAGAGAGAGAGCACTCCAGGACAAAGTCTTGAAAAGTCTTTGACAGAAGAGTAAAAAGACTTCTTGACATAATATATTTGGGCTCTGGAGTCGTATAACAGGCATGAATCCTATTATCTTCTTACTAGTGACAATTCCCTTTACGTCTTGGAGTGTGACATACAGACATAAGCGGCTCTCCTTTGAAGCATGTTGGGAGCATCCAGTGATAGCATGTATACACATGACAAGGTGGAAAGAGTTCACTAAACCTCAGCTAGTACAATTAGATGCTATAGCGTTAAGTGTTAATTTGCCCTTTTATTTGTGATGTGTGACATCTATTTTACATACTAATATAAACACACAAACACATCATGCTCCCCGGTATAGAAAGAAAGTGCATACAGATTTGTGTCCAGGGTTCCATAGACCCCACTGCAGTGCAGTCTGCCGCCTTCTTGGCTGGTCTCTCATTTTGACTATCCTATGGCTGAGGACCCCTGGGAGGGCACATCCCAGAGGAGACTATCTCTGGCTATTACTCATAAAACGTATACTCCAGCTTTGTGCATAACACGGTGGTTGGTGCTCTTACATGTCTAAAATCTGGTTCAGAAGACAGAAACTTCCGTTCAGGAACAAATTATACAAAAGAACGTATTTCAGAGACATTGCTAATAGCTCCAACTACATCATCAATGAAGTATTTCGCTCAGTCTCGGCAGCAGAGTCCACTGCTGCCACCTTGTGGTCAGGCGACATTTTCAAAATCAAAATATTGCAGTAAATTATTCTTTCTACTGAGACAGGGTTCAGCCCCGGCTAGACCTGCAGCTCCCCTGAGCCTGCCTCTCGAGATATAGAGATGTGATATCAATGTGAACCATCTTGCAAGTCTCACTGATAGAAAGTTGTCATTATGTGTGCTCGAAAAAAATGCAGGAGATCTAGTCATTGCTGTTATTTCTCTGTCGTTGCTAACATTCCATTTCCAATTTTAAAGGATTAAATGAAACAATACGTCTGTGAACTCTGGTCACCAGAGCTGCCTTTGAATTTATCATGAGTGCTTATGATTTAGCTACCCAATGTTTCTGTCTATGTGTGTTTTCTCATCTGAAGAGCAGCGTGCAGGTGGGAGACTAGCAGGAGAGTGGTAATTCTGAAGTTGCAGTTTCAACAATGAAAGACAGTGGTAGTGAGGATTTGGAAAGAGTGAGAATCTCCTTCTCAGGGGCAAAACCCAGCTAACAACGTTCCTGAAGAGGAGACCAGAAATGCCGGAGTCCAGCAAGTCAAAAAATGGCCACCAAGATTTAACAAGAAACATATATAAGGCTGGAGATATATCTTTCAGTGACAGAGTATTTCTGGCATACCTAAGGCCTCTCTAGTACTTCACACACACACACACACACACACCTAAAAACAAAAGACATAACAATTACATTTCTTCATATTATTTAAAATAAACCTTAAGAAATGATTATTCTCTATGTAGTAATTTAAATTTTATTAGTTGAAAATAAATTTGACAAATTATAAAGAAATTTTTAGCTAAAAGAGCAATCAATAATGTGGATATTATAAGTTTTTATTTGGACTTGACAGTGAGGGCGTGACCATTTGATAATACACATGGCCTTCATACAGCTTTCAAGCAACCATGTCCTGCACCCCACTGTGTGCAGCTGACTAGGTGATACGGGCTAGCCTTGACTAATATTCATACCTGACTCAACCCAGGGAGATGAGATCACAGGGTGTACCACCATGTCCAGCAAGCACACAGTTCTCAGGAAGAACGAGGTTATGAGTAAATGACTGGTCTTCAGAGACAAAATAAAACATAACTATGTAATAAAGGCAGCCATCTGTTTTATGGATGTCTTGCATTATCTTTCTTTTTCAGGATGTTGTTTATTTATAATATCTTACATAACTTATCAGAAGGGAGTGGTTGGTGTGTCCTGTAGATGATATGCACAGCAGACAAAGCTCATGCTAAGGCACAGTGGCTGTCATGGAGGAGACATTCCTAAGGTCCCACGGGTGTTATTTTAGTTAAGATTTTATTGCTGTGTAGAGACACCATGACCAAGGCAACTCTTATAAAGGGAAACATTTCATTAGGGCTGGCTTACAGTTTCAGAGGTTTAGTCCAGTATTGTCATGGTAGAAAAGATGGCAGTATGCAGGCAGGTAAGGTGCTGGAGAAGGAGCTGAGAGTTCTCCATCTTGATCCAATGGTAGCAGAAGGAGACGGTGTCACTGGACATACCTTGAGCATATAAGACCTCAAAGCCTACCCCCACAGTGACACACCTCTTGCAACAAGGTCACACCTCCTAATAGTGCTATTCTCCATGGGCCAAGCATCCAAGCACATGAGTCTATGGGGCCAGACCTATTCAAACCACCACAGGTGTCATATTTATTACCGCCTATTATGCCCAGCAGGTGCAGTAATGAGGGAGAAACCCAAACTGGAGGGTCCGGACTCAGAGAATGCTTTGAATCCATTTCCTTCAGTTGAGTTACATAATTATAAGGGCTTTATGTTAAAAGGGAATTTCAGAAGTCTAAAAACATAATATTTTTTATTACATAATAATAATTTTTTATTACAATAAACTAAGAGTTTAAAAAAATGGTAGGCATTTCTCATGAGCTAAAACCAGATTTACCATGACTTGCCTATATGCCTCTCTAGCATTTACGTCAGCACACCACAGAGACACTTGCACACTGATGTTTATGATGGCACTGTCCACAGTAGACAAGTGATAGAACTTACCTGTCTAAAATGTAGAAATGGATGCAGAAAATATGATGTATGTACATATAATACATACGCATATAAAATATTTGTATGAAAATATCCTGTGTGAGGTAATACTGCCATGAAAATACATAATGAAACTGGTGGCAAAAATACTTTAAAATGAGTAATCGAGTTGGTGAGATGGTTCAACTGGTAAAAGGTGCTTGCTTCTAAACCTGAGTAGCTAGGGTTTGATTCCTTCTGTGGTGCAAGGAGAGAACTGACTCCTGAATGTTGCCTTCTGGTCTCCACCAGGCTCTGTGGCACATTGTGTACACATGAGTACACACCAAACATACAAAATAAATGTAATTTTAAAACTTGAGTAATCAATGACTGAGTCACGTCTCGATAAGACCATAACTATGACCAAAAACTGCATAGCCGTTTTCACTCCTTCCAACTCACTCTTCAGATCGCTCTTACGTGTCTCACTATTCACAAGGATGTCTGCTCTTTCCTAGAAGCAGATGTTCAATGAATTACTCACACGTCAAGCACCTCATCTTCTGAAAGATTTGGATACATACTTAGGAGACAAAGAGTGGTTTATTGGCAATTATGTGAGTATGTTTTGTGTTTTAAAAATGCCAGCAATTGTATTTAGATAAGTCAATGAACTAAAAGCTTACTGAGCAAAAACGGTATTCCAGCCAGGTGTGACAGTACACACCTGTCAACCCAGCACATGAGAGGCTCCATAGCAAGTTTGATGCCAGCCTGGGCTACATGAGCCCCTGTCTCAAAATGGGAAGAAGAATGAATGGAGGCAGGGCAGGGCTGGAGGATAATTACTCAGAAAATATAGTAGAGAAAATAGAACACTAAACATCTTCCAACTAACTCTTTACATGGATCTGATCCGGAGTCATGAATATGAATATATAATTCATAATTTATATAATTACATACATTAATCTTTAGAAGCTATCCTAAGAATCAAAAGGAAATGAATGAATCTGTGTCACATACTTAAGAGTACATAAAGACTACTTATTGCATTATTTTGTGCATGTGTGTGTACATGTGAACATGTATGTGGATATCCGTGTGTGTATGATGTAGAGGCCAGAGACTGACCTCAGTTATTGTTCATCAGACACTGTCCACATTGTTTTCTGAGACATAGTAGTGTCTCACTGGCCAGCAGCTCACCAGTCAGGCTAGGCTGGCTGACCAGTGAGCTCCAGGGTCGCTCCTGTCTTTGCCTCCCAAGAGATGGGATCACAAGCCAGCGCTACCATACCCATCTTTTGTACATGAGTTCTAGGGCTCAAACGTGGATCCTTATGATGTTTGCACAGAAAGCACTTTACCAACCCAGCTAACTCCCCAGCCCCTGTGCCATACTCTTAGTAACAAAAAACTACATTCAGTGCAAAGCACTGTAATCTGAGCTCATTATAGGAATATCAGAAAAAAAAAACATACACCATTTTCAGTAAAATATTAGCAGCTCTGGGCACAATTGGTATTGTTTTAACAATATTATTTATGATTTATACATTGTGAGTGGAAAACTCAGAAGTTACACTGATGTTATTAAGAATCAGGATCTTTGGTGTGGAAGAAAAGGAGACAAAGATAAATCTGGTTATCATAGGTATCTCCTTATACCCAGACTCTGGTCTCTTAAATACTGAAAGGAACTGGGGGTTTGGAGACAAATGACTTAATCTCAATTTGAGACAAGAAATATAGTGAGTGCTTTTTATACTAGGAGCCAATAATGAGTTACCACAGCAACCAGAGTTAGTGTCAAAAGGACTTTTGGAGTCATCTCAGGACTGGCTAGAAATGGAGTGACCTAGACTTCAGTGAGAATGTGGACAGCAGCAAATTGAAACAAGTCAAAACAAACAGAGGAACTTACGACAACGCATACGACATCCAAACATACAACACCCACAACCACGCTCCCGGCAAGCTGTAGGGGGGAGCCCATTTTGAAAGAAGGAAGTGGAATGTGAGATGCTTGGTTGGAAGCACTTGTCCCGCCTTTTCTACGCAAGCAGTGCAAGTTTCTCTTAGGAAAAAGTATTCTAGTCATAAATAAGAGTACAAGCATCATCACTTGCCAACCCTGAAGAAATAATGAGCCTAGCCAGTGGCCACCAGAAACCACCTGTGTCACAGAGGGATGCTGGCCAGATGCTAGAGGTGGGCTTCCAGAGCAGGAACATAACTCCGCAAGACAAATCTAACTCATCTCAGTGCTGTTATGGGTGGAGTTTCCCAGCCTTTTGGGAAGGGCTGTATGAAGATAGGAAAAAGTGCTGTCTGTGGCTTAGGTGACTCTGATCACTCTACCTTGTCCCTGTACCTCCTCAGCTTTCCAACGCACTGCACAGTCCCTTCACTTTTTCCCACTTGCTTTTTATAAACTCTCCTTTTCAGTCTCTGTTTTCTGTGTATTTCTGGGAACTCTTGACTTAAACAAACATCACCTCTTGGAGGCCCCCTCTGCCCATGTAAGCCATTGCACTTTGCCTTCCTCAGCTATTTCACTGTGTATTTATTTGAAAAGTCTCTTCTAAAACAAAACCCCAGACTGGGGATGACATTCAGTGTTATTTGAAGGTTTTGAGTTTGGTCCACAGCACTGAAAACAAACAAACAAATAAACAACAAACAAATCTATATCAGAGGATGGCATTGCATCCCAGATTGCTCTCTGCCATCCCCAACACCTAGATGTGGGTATGACACACAGTAGGTACTCGATAAATATTTCTTAGTTGAACTGTAAATGCAGCAATCTGTCTTAGAACAGCAAAAGTGTGAAACACCAACAACCAGCTCTAGTGAACTATGCACACACAGCAAGCTTTAGTCCACATTTAAATTCTACTCTATTGCTGAGCTTAGGAAAACACACTGTACTCTCAGAAAGCCTGGTTTGCAGAGGGAGCTCCAGTAAAACACGTTACAGTGTTAGCCTGTCTCCCAACAATAAAAATTTAAAAAGTGAACAAATGACAAAAACAAATTTAACTCTGCTGATGTGATTAGGGGACCAATGTCAGACCCCACTGATGAAGCTCAAGTATCGATGAACACTCAGCTGGCCCAGGCTTAGGATAGGTTATACCTGTCACCTTGACCAAGGTTAGCATTCTATTAAGGACCAGATACCCATATAGTTATTTATCTTGATATGATTCAAAGATAATGTATTTTACACAGATTCTTTTATTTGGAACTATAGACCCTGAAGGATAACCTACACCCTATTTATTCCTTTTATACCTTAAAATGCAAAGGTACAAGGTATACAACATAATGAAATAATCACAGATCCCCTCCCACATAGGATATTGGCAGGACTAGTGTGGAATCATCACTGACGACATAGAAAAAGGAGCATGCTGTTCTCAATCACAAGACTTAAACTGTGTACAGTGAACATGTACACACCTGGGATGACCCTATCTTTTTCTACAGAGGGCTTTTGGAACAGATGGAAATCTCTGAGTTAGGTCAGACTGGTGGAGATTGGACAGGGCTTCAAAGTAGTGCAGCACTGGACCATGTGCTGCGATCCACCTCTGTCTCAGGCATGCACACTAAGTCACAGACAGTGGTCATTTAAATGACTTGGACATTGTGATGCTCAGCAGCTTCCAACGTATCATACACATGTTCAGCTTTTGTACCAACAAAGAATTGTTTTCAAATGGAAAGGAAATGTTCCTTGAGAGTTATTAGGTTCACTTTTAAAATGTTTTTCTTTTTAATATATTCAAAGGCCAAGTCTTTGCTTTCCTTTAAACAGGTAACCTGGGCAGACTTCTACTGGGATGTCTGCAGCACCACACTTTTGGTCTTAAAGCCTGATTTGCTGGATATCTACCCCAGGCTGGCTTCATTACGGAACAAAGTCCAAGATATTCCTGCCATTTCTGCCTGGATACTGAAGAGGCCACAGACAAAACTCTAGATGATTCAGGACCCATCATCAGACGAGAGCTCCACTGGGTAAAGAATCTGCATACTTCTCCCCACCACTAGGACTCTTACTTTGTAGTATTCTGCTTGCTATGTATGATTCTTTTGTTGTGGTTTTGTCTTTTTCTGTAAGCATTTAGTTTCCAATATTTTTTTCAAAACGTTATACTTTTTATAATTACAGGGAAACAGTTCACAATATTTGATGTTGTGCACTGGTATCAGCATGCATGGATGCTTTAGTTAAATGACACTAGTTTTCTGGCTAGTGTTATTAGTCACCGCCGTATCTTAATCATGAGTAACCATGTGAAATACAGATTTTGCAGCTAGCTCTTCAATCAACAAATTGCTACACAGATACTAAGGGTCACTATAATGGTTACTAGCCACTATATGTTATTCAGGTATACATCAAAGTGTATAAACTACTTCACTGTGGGACCATGAAAGGATAGCTTGGTTCTTCGATGGGCACAGGCCTCGAAGCCTGACCTTGATGGGACAATGGCAAGTGATTGGCCACGCCCCCAGAACCCAGGCTCCTGACGTGACCAAGACCTCCATTTGGTCTACACTGTTCAGTCACGTAGGGCAAGGCTCCTACCAACCCCTACACAGGTAGAGGGCGTGACTACAGGCCTCAGCCTCGAGATTTCCATATTAGTGAGATACCTAAAGGCCAGAGGGCATAGCTAATTAAGTGACCCTCCTCCCCCTCTCCCTCCCTATTTAAGTCAAGCCCGCCCTGACTTAAAAGGGGGGTGCATCCAGACCATCTATCATCCGCCATGTCAATAAAGCTCTTGGAACCCTGGACTTCCTCGTGTCACTGGGACCTGTCATTTTGGAAAGCTTCTCTGCCTTTTCTGCCGTGGGGGCCCACATCTCCAAACAAGCTGCCTTTCAGCCAAGTATAACAATCGAGCACTTCCCGCAGGGCACAGTCAGGGCCTCTCTCTACCCCGTTTCTCTCTGTGCACTGGCCGGTTGCTTCTCACAGTGCAGCTCCCGGGCCCACAGTCTCTGTTCATCCAAGCCCCCCCCCCCTCCAGAGGCATCTGGGATCCCCAAATGGAGACACTGATCTCCGGGTCCACTCGAGAGCCCTGTCCACTCACAAAACTTTAGACTGAGTTCACTCCCCACCCAGAGGCGCCCCGGTGGCTTCTCATAGCCCAGTGCCTCGTGGAAGGGGACCAGTCGGACTTCCTGCGTGCACTTCTGCATCTCTACAGAGGACCACCTCCCTGAGGCACTAGCCCTAGGCACAAGACACTCAGGAACTACAACTCAACGCAACAGAGAACTCACGCCTGTGCACACCCGCACGTGGGCCATCATTTTCCCCCACACTTCACAAAAATACACATCTGTCTGACATGTCACAAAACAGGTAATTAAAAAGGAACTCATAACGATTAAAGGTCAGCCAAGAAAAGTGATGTTGAAGCTTAATTGAAATCCCATAGAAATGAAGTAACAACAAGTTGACTGAATTCGGCACTGTTGCAACTCAAGAGGCTGTAGAGACAAGGAGCTGTGACATAGAAAGTTAGGTACCCCAGAGACAAGAGACAGAGGTTACAACCATCCTTCACATAAAAAACAAAAACAGGCTGAGAGATGGCTCAGCAGTTAGCACTGACTGCTCTTCCAGAGGTCCTGAGTTCAATTCCCAGCAAAAACATGGTTGCTCATAACCATCTGTAATGGGATCTGATCTTCTGGTGTGTCTGAAAAGAATGACATACTCACATACATAAAATAAATAAACAAATCTTAAAAAAAAACATATCAGAAATCAATGGATTAAGGAGACTGGGAGAACGTGTGTGCAGAACATTCACCTGGTAAACAATTGTTGTTGAAAATATATAAAGAACTGTGAAAAGTCAATAGTAAAAAAATAAATAACCAGCTTGAAATGTCAGCTGAAGATACAAAGGTGGGGGTGAGCCGTGAGGAGATAGCAATACAATGGCACCAGGGAATTATAATAACAGTGCAGACTAGATCACTAAAATCTCAAGACCAAATAAACACTGTGAAGTTATGGGACCTGGGACTAATTGGGGACAGGAATGAATGCAAAAGATGGCACTATTGGACCTAGTTTCTCAAAAAACAAAATGTCCCCTTCTGTGTGGACCGGCAGTCTCGCATTATGTATTTACTCAAATGAGCTGACAGCATGTCCACACTAAGCGTGAACATGTGTCTTGGATGCTGCTTTACATACAGCTGCTAAAAGACATTCTTTAGCATGAAATGCAGAAATAAACCTTGGTATGGACAGGTCCGGGCTAGTAAGCCATGAACAGAACACGGCGTGAGCCAGTACCACACACAGCCAAGTGAAAGGCGCCTACACAAAAAGGCTCCAACCATGCAAAATTCTGGGAAAAGCACAATGATGTGGGTAGTAGAGGATGAGAAGCTACCAGGTCAGTACTGACATGGGAAAGACTGGTGGCAGATAGGAAATCTGGGTAGTCTGTTCCGTGGGATACTGTCAATAGTAATGATTACCTCTTTACATTTATAAATTTACTCAGAATGCAGAACACCAAACCTCGAATGTAAACTGTAGCGTATATACCAGATGTTAGTAACAGGGGAGATTGTAGGTATGGGGACAACAGGAAACGGGACTCCTCCTAGTGTTGCGGTGACCTGGGACTTCTTTGGGGAAAAAAAAAAAACAACCCAGTCTGTGCTAATTGGTTCTTAATTGCTTACAAACTGTGATAGACATGCAACAGCTTACAGGGAGGGAAGATTTGTGACTCCACCTCATAAAATCTAGCCCAACGGTTGGTAGGCTCCACTGGGCTGGATCTGTGGAAAAGTATGTGACAAAATGACTTTATTTACTCATGGTGTCTGAGAAGCAGAGACAAAGGGTGGAAAGCACCTCTCTACACAATTCTCTAAACAAGGCCCAGTGAGGTGGCCCCACTGGTAAAGGCATTTGACGCCAAATCGGAAGACCTGAGATCAACCTCTGGTACCTACATAACAAAAGACTAACTTCCACCTACTGTCCTCTGCCCTCCCCTTAAGTAGTGTGGCATTTGCACTTACACACAGTACATTTTGTTGAATAAAATGCAACCATTGTTCTTAAAAGAATCTTCTAATTAGCATTATTATCCCCTAGGACTGTTTTGGACTGCTGGCTTAGAACTCACTGCAATCCCATCTCCATGCTGCCCTACCTGGATTCCTATTTTAAACTATATTGATGGAATACAGACTTTCGCTTTGCATGTTGGCATCATAAATGTTAATAGTTTGCTTGGTATGTTGCAGAATGTATGGAAACACTAATAATGATGATCTTATGGTTTATGTCATAGTCAGGGGAACATACTGCTAAAAGGCAAAAAATAAAAATAAGACAGTGTAGGGAGACAGAAACATGTCCAGCTAGGTGTGCTCTTACATAATATCTCAATATCTCTCTCTCTCTTCTCTCTCTCTCTCTCTCTCTCTCTCTCTCTCTCTCTCTCTCTCTCTCTCTTCTCTCTCTCTCTAGAACATTCTCTCTGATTTAATGGGGACAGGTAAAAATTACTACACATTATATACAAACACAAAATGCATGACTTTTATCTTTTGAATGAAATTTTGACATTGGTGGCTGTTAAAATAAAAAAGAATCTTACTGCATAGATAGACATTGTATGATTAAAACAATCTTAAAGAAAAAGTCTTTAGAGAAACATACAAACAATGCTTTTACTGAAGGTGGTGGTGCCTCTAAATGCAGGCGTTTCCCTCTTCCATTAAAGGCTATCTTTAATGGAAACAGTTTAGGAAAAGTAATATATACAACTCTTATGGAGGAAAAATGGAAACTGAAAAATAATACTCTTGTACATTTCTGTGATAAATATAAAACGTAACCTCAGCATGCTCCATAGGGCAGTATTTAACATCACCATAATTTTATGTCAAGCAGCCACTGAAGGTTAGAGCCCTTCTTTACAGGGTGCATAGTGCTGCACAAATGGAAACCCAATCTTCTTGACTCTATAGGAACTCCTACTGGAAAGTCACCTGTCTAAGACAAGACACATAAAGTATACTTATTATGCATGTATGACTTGTACTAAGAAAATAAAACTACTTCATGATGGGTGATGGTGGTACATGCCTTTAATCCCAGCACTTGGGAGCAGAGGTCACCCTAGTCTACAGAGTTCCAAGACAGCTAGGTCTATGCCAAGAAATTCTGTTTCGTGAAGAGGAAAATAAAAGCCTACTTCGCCGGGCGGTGGTGGCGCACGCCTTTAATCCCAGCACTTGGGAGGCAGAGGCAGGCGGATTTCTGAGTTCGAGGCCAGCCTGGTCTACCAACTGAGTTCCAGGACAGCCAGAACTACACAGAGAAACCCTGTCTTGAAAAACCAAAAAAAAAAAAATAATAATAAATAAAAAAATAAAAAATAAAAGCCTACTTCAGTTGGTCATGATGTTAACAACTGTGGATTATGTATGTTTTCCATTACTAACAGACTGTGATGTTTAATGGCACTGGCCCAATGAAAGGACAATTGAGGATCCATTCTATGTAACAAATCCCTATTTATTGTCAAGCAATATCTTAAACATAAGATGGTTCCATTTCTGTTCAATATTACATATTTCTTTGAAGAAGAAAAAAGAGGGCTAAAACCCACTACAAAGGGTGTGAAATACAACTTAATGATTGCAAATATTTTTATTAAACCGAGACATAATAATAGAGTATTACAGGGAGAATCCAACTATATTTCATTAGAAGAAATTCAGATATAACAACACCACAACCGATGAGTCTACTGAGGGAGATACATTTTATACAGAAAAGTTAAGAGAAATTCACTGTGGGTTTAAAAGTACGATTTCCAACAACTTGACTAAGAGACCTGGGTACTGTGATCCCAAGGAGGTAGCATTAACACCTGCAGATTCCTGGTAGCCCTGTAGTGGGGAGAAATATCTGATACATTCATGTACCTTCAATATTATATCTACTGAGTCAAGAGTTCAGAGTCTCTGATACCTGAAGAAAAAAAAAAAGCACTGTAGGATCATGTCAACCATCTAAGTTTACCTAGCACCTTAGCACTCAGGACGTCTTGAAAAGTATGAGTTTCAATAATTAACAAATCTCTCATTTATAAATAAGTTTATTTATAATGATATTTACATTATAAAACAAACACATAAAACTCACAAGTTATACAAAGAATCTGGTGTATAATAAAAACAGCAATATAGACTGACAGGCAAAATTTAAATGAAAAGTTAATAAAGACTGAAATATCAAATAGACAATTTTACTTCTAAATTTCATTTTGTCACCCACACTGAACTGGAATTGAACAATGGCTTCTCTTCAGGTGGTCCTGTACTGGAAATCCTGGGAACTGGTAAATTATATTTTGTTAAGAATTTAAAGTTAATGACCTATTTCCATGCAGTACCTAATGCTACCTTAGTATGACGTCACATCCAGTTTCCTTTGAAGTGAAGTAGCTTTAAGTCAATCTGTTCTGCTGGACTAGAAAAATACCACCAGCATCTGCTGATCTTGGTGATACAGCAGTGGGAAATGTGTGAGAGAAAACTGGAGCAGAAGCGGCTGGGCAATGGTTAAGAGAAGGAAAAGCGGGAGAGGAAGCTGATGGTAACACACACAAGAGTAGGTAGAGTTAATAAGCCAGAGGTGCAGTAAAAAAATGAAAGGAACTAAGCCCCAGAGCAGGAGAAAGGCTTCAGTTCCTGGAAACTCACTGGAAAAACAACTTAGTGCCTAGCCAAAATCAA